AGTGAAAGACAAAATTAGAGGGCATTTCTGAAGCTGCAGTGGATCCCAGCTCCTCCTGCTGCCTCCCCGACTCACCTAGAAGGCTCCTCTCACTTCAGCTGCTCCCAAGACCGTCCCTGCAAATGAAAGGGGTAAAGGCTCAAACACTGAGCTCTCAAACATTTAAGGATGGCTCACAAGCAAAGCCAAAAACCTCTAAACCCCATCAGACTCCACGCCGAAGCGTTGCTACACACCCTGAAGTGGGCAGACGGCCGCTGTGAGACAACACGGACACGGAGGCTTGTGCTGACGTACTGCCTCATCCTGGCTATCTCAGGCTTCCTCAGCTTGACCTCTTACAGGATGGACCTTCGGCACCTTCAGCAGACAGGCAAAGGGTTGTGTATCACCTGGAAAAAAAATTAAACAGCTACAACATATATGCAGAGATTGACCACATAGACAACATCCTCAAACTAACTCCAAATTCGGCTGGGGAGTAAAATTCTCACCTCGCTCGTCTCCCTGCTGAGCCGCTACCCCTCGAGACCGATTGGGCCCCATCTGGAAAATAAAGAACAAAAAGACACAAGATAAAGGACTCCTGTGGCTAAAACGGACATCCTTCATCCAACACCTAATACAACCTTCTTACCAGGCTGCTTCAACTTCTCTCCGTCTGGGGTACATTGTGTCTGTTTATCTGAAAAAAAAAACCCAACAAAAAACAAAGGGTTAGTCAGGTCACCCACGTGATCGCCGAGACCTTAACCACTTAACTCATTTCCACTGAGCAAGTGAGAACTCTGACCGCAGCCTACAAGAATACAAATGATAACCCAGCTGCGAGGCCCTGCTATCCAAGTACCATCAGCTCCACAACACTCGGCTATAATGATGGCACACGAGTTATGTACACCCGCTCCACCCGGCAGGACCGTACAGCCATCGGCTCCACTGACTGAGGTAACTGACATGCTGATGGGAGACTCTGAGCAATATTCTATCTACCCACTGACCCACGGAGCAGGGCAGAGCAGTTCCAAGCTGACCCCAAGTGAGACACCCCGCACCTGTGACGACACACACCATGTGACACAATGAAGAGACAAAGGACACAAAATATGGATGAGACAGAGGACTTGACACAGACCAGAACTGCTCTGTCCTGCACACGTGAATCCAATGATACAAAGTAAACCCTTCCTTGGATGTGTCCAAATAACCTGTTACAAAATACCCATTGTATCCTACTAATTTCAAAAATCCCTCCAGGTGAGGCACACACTTGCACCGAGTCCCAACCCCTCTCTGGGTCTTTGCCCTGCACTTATCTTGCCGAGAGCTGGGGACGAGAATCCATCGTTGATGCAGAGGAGGGGCACCTGGGCTGACTCAGAGGTTCCTGGCATCGGGAGAGTACTCGGAGTCAACTGTGAGAAAAAAAAACAGCCACAAGATCTGCCACCCATACTACCTTCAAAACACCCCTGGCAATCCCTAAGATGGCACCCCAGCCCTCCCTCCATCTCTGGGCTGTAACCCTCTACTGACTACTTGCAAACCTGGGGGTCTGTAGCTATCTTCAACACAGAGCAGCTTCACCTGAGGACAGGATAACACTGGTGAAAAAATACCAAGCTGCAGTTGAAATGATTGGGAGATCCCAAAAGATGCAAGGCTCCTAAGGAAAAGAAAGAAAATAACAAATTAGGAAAGCACCTTACCAACACAGCACACAAAATTATTCAATTTAAAAACCCTGCATTTGAGTGTAACCCTCTTTACTGCCATAAACAGCTCTGCTTATTTGGATACCAAAGCTAATGCTTCAATAAAGCAGGAATAGCTTGAGAAATCCCATTCAATGAAAGAAAGGGAGAGCTCTTATCCCATTGAAGCCCAGCTGCTAAATGAGCTCACTGGCTCTGACTGGAGTCACACGCTGTGGCTGTCATCTTCTGGGATACCTAAGCGAGATACAGACAAACTTAAAGGGGATTTCTAAAGCAACAGAGGATCCCTGCTCCTCCTGCTGCCTCCCTGACTCATCTCAACTGCTCATCTGCTCCCAAAGGTTAGCCAGATGCCATAAAACTGGACCCAGCTCTCATCCCCTCTCCAGGTGCTAGTCCTCCACTTATCTTTCCCACAGCTGGGGATGTGAATCCATCTTGGATGCCAAGGAAGGACGCCCGGCTGGCTCACAGGGTCCTGTGATCCCTGACTCGGTCGGCTGTGAGAAAGAAAACAGAAACTGACACGAGAGTTGGGCAGCACGTGGGAGATAACTCCGCAATTGGCTACTCACCCTCCCCTGAGCTGAGACGTTCTCGGGCCACTGGCTCCGACCCCAGCCCGAGGCTGCTGCCGTCACCGTGTGCCGTACCTGGGGGAGTGAGAAAAAAAGTTACGGGGTGTTCCTGAAAGTAAGGGAGACCCCAGCACCTCCTCACTACCTCCCAGACTCAACCTCAATGCTCCTCCTTTGCCAAAGGCAGGCAGGATGGCACCTGCAACTGGAAAAGGTTCAGCTTTAATTGATAAGCCTCGTAGTAGTAGGAGACTACTGATGAGGACAGCTGAAGACCATCAAACCTAAACTGGCAAGTGGCTCCGGCCCTCTGAGGCTGCACACATTCTCTGCAAGGTAAAAAAGCCAAAGGCAAATGTTCACACTGAGATACTGCCTGAAAGGATGGCTTTCCTGGGGTAGCTCCTACCTACCTCTCCTCCACAGTCACCTCTTACCCGCAGGGGCCCTGAAGCACTGGACTGTCTGTTAGAAGGTGGTAGAACCCCTGCAAAACACAAGAAACAAAGCATGTGCACAGATTCACCACAACACCTGCAAAAGACCATCTAGTCCTGTCCCGGAGTCAATGCTCACCTTGCTCACCGGGACTCACCCGGATCACCTCCCATCCAGTGCCTAGAGCCTCCTGGGCCCAGGGCTCTGCATCTCAAAACAACGGAAAAACAAACCCAAACAACAAAATCCTTAATACGTGGAGTAAACGTGGAGCCAAAAGCCACATCTCCGTGCTGATGTCAGGTGACGACCCACCTTCTTCCTCTGCTCCTCTGGTCTCTGTTCTGTTCAACTCTGCTTTACACCCTGTCCCTCTGACACAGTAAAGAAACCCTAACCAAAGTCACCCAGACAGCTGAAAAGAGCTCAAAGAATCTCCCTTCTCTTTAGGCAAACCACCCAGGGTC